ACCTGTTAATTTATTAGTTTCCATTTTGCCCTTTTGGACCTCCGGCGCATATTTTTGAAATGTTTGGGATCTCCTCTGGCACAAATCAAAGGTTAGGGTATAGCGCGCAAAAATTTGAAAGGTTTGGAACCTTTGCTGCAATTATTCCAATAATTTATTAGGGTTTTCAACATTTACATGAAATGAGAGTTGATATGGGTTACCTGCATCTGATGATGATGGTGTCAGGATCCATTACATTCATCCAAGTACAAGGTTTGGAACTCACCTGTGTATCTTAGTTCCTACTTGTAGTGTATCTCTCAAGAATTATACAGTTTTATCATGTGCATGCTTGATAGACAGTACTAATGCTTGATGGGTAGTAATAGATTGTACTCTTATGTTATGACTTAGTTTTACCATGTTTTTATTATGTATAACACTGTTCAATGAGGTCTAATTTTTTATAAGTTAGAAAACATACCTTTAAAGGTTTATTTGTGCAATGGTGCAAGGTATATATAATATATACATGGGTCGTTTGACAGCTTTTCAGAAATTAAAAGGAGTTCTTGAAATTCAAAAGTTGCTTTTGGGCTCATTGATTAATTTTATAAAAATGCTTCTTTTAGTTAAAGAATTTTTAGAACAAACTTGTCCAATATGACTTTTCCTAAAAGTGCTTCGAAATGTAAGTCACTGTTTGAGCAACAATATTTTTTTCATTCTCATTTTTTTACTCATTTTTAACTACACATTTTTAATAAAATAATATTTTTCATCACATTAATAATTTTTTCTTTTTTTTTTAACCACACATTTTTTATTAATCTATGATTTTAAAATACATTCTTCCAAAATAACGTGGCTCAAAAGCTTTTTTATAAATTAGTTTTCAAACAGAAAAGACTTTAGCCATTTGTACAGAAAAAAATCATCAGAATTTTACCATAAAAGAGACAGCAGTGGGTCTCATAGTGTATTTAAAAAGAATGTGCGGGCCCACTTTGTGTGATTGTTTTGTTGCATTTCTGGTGTTTTTGTTTATGTACGTGTTGCACATTTCAACAAAAAATATGTCAACTTTCTTGAGCAACTCTTAAGCAAGAAGTGAAAAAGAAGAAGCAAAGGTCATATCCGCATGGTCTATAACTAATGATGACTAATAGTAATAGGATTCAATATGAACTTGTCATTATTCTTCAATATGAACTTGGCGTTGAATATATGTACTCAAAATCCTTTTTTCCACGGAGTGGGACTCTTGATATGGTAGGTGGAGTCTATGGATTTTGACGTTTACTTTCCCTGCAGTTCTTTCATTTTTAGTTTTCTGCAGTTGGCTACAGTTTGAAATAATAAAATAGACTAGGTGATAAGACTGGGAGTCTAATTCTGAAACTTGTCATTTGCGGTTTATATATGGTTCAAGGATTTTTAACATTTGAGGATCTAGACTATGGCACTTGGATATGATAATCGTTTGATCCCACGCACTTGGATATGATACTCGTTTGATTCCACGTGGTGGGATCAATCCCCAAATCGAAGTTCTCTCTTTATTATGTATCAATCCTGAAATCGAAGTTCTCTCTATATTATTATTATTATTTTTTTTTCATCACATTAATACTAAAATATTTTGTACATAAATTTAATTTTTTTTTTCGCTTTTTAATTACATTCTTCAAAAAATCATTATTTTTGTTGAATATTGTAAACCAAATTCCATTTAAAAGAGGTGTTTTGATGTGTTAAAGAGGCCAAAAAGTGAAATTTAATTTGAAATTCAGAGCCTGTGTGCCATTGGAGGCGCTTGAGCTACTGCTTGCTTGTCTAGCACTCGAGCGGCATTGCAGAGCTTGCTTATTGCAAGGCTATTGCTCGAGTAGCGTATATCTGAGAAAATATTGTTTTCTTATTTTTGGCGCATTTTTATCATCTTTCCAACTATAATGTATTTTTTTTTTAATACTATATATACTCTACGAAACTTTGACTTTAAGATGACTTTGATAGAGTTAGAATTGTATTAGATACACAATATTCCTTGTATTTTTTATCCATTATTAATAAAATCTTCATTTATTATTTTGTTCTTGTGTTGTGATTGTTATTTCATATTGTGTCATTTAATCTCGCTCTCTATTCCTAACATGGGGTATCAAAGCACAAATAATTCTTGTCAAAATTCCAGTTTGTTGTTCTTCACGAGTTTTTATTTTTTTTTTGGATATATCAACCTTGAAGTATGATTTTGCATTTGGATTGTAATACAAGATTTTCGTTGTGGCAAGTGAAGATCCCAGTAGTATTCGTTCAAATGGATTTGGACGATACCTTGTTAGGATTTGACTAGATGCTTTCGAATTAGTCGTTGGAAGAGAAACAACACGATCAAAATGTTCTTTCTATAATTCATTTTCATTTTTTGAATAACATTTTTCAGGATGAGAAAATTTCAGTTGCATTATGGTTGAAGTCGAAACAATTGTGCATCACTAAGGATCTAAGTAGCAAATTGCACCTGAAGCAACATTTGTATTTTCATCGTATGATGGAATGTACACCTCTAGAAAATCACTTTTTTGTTTTTAAAGAAATCGTCACTGGTTTGGAAATATTGGAGGTTAAATACAACGAAAAAGAATTAAAGTTAATTTTGTTGTGTTAATTGTTCGCTTCATACATGTTGTTTAGAGACACAATATTATATAGTCGTGATACTCTTATCCTTGAGAAAGTTTATGATGTTTTATTTTAAAAGGAGAAGATAAATCATCTTCTTAGATCTGATGTTTATGAAGAAGACCTTATTGTTCATGGTGATTATGAGAGGGAAAATTAGAAATCTAAGTACAATAATAAAGTTTGTAACTATTGTAATGACACATAAAAAAGGATTGTTACAAGTTGTAAAATAGAGAAAACTTGGCTGCAATTAAGGGAAAGCAACCAGAAACTTCAGGTGAAGCAGATATTGCTGAAAATTGCTACAATGATGAATAACTTTTTGTTATTTCTGATGGTGACTCTAACCTTGACGAAAATTGGATTCTTGATACAATTTGTTCTTTTCATACGTGTCCCAAACGGGATCTATTTTCAACATATGAAGAAGTTTTCAAAAGTGTTGTGCAAGTGTCGGAATCAAAATGATTGATGGGATAGTCAGGACACTTGATGAAGTGAGGCATGTCCTAAATTTGATCTCCTTGAGTACTCTTGATTCAAAATGGTACAAGTACATTGGTGAAAGTAGAGTCCTAAAAATTAGCAAAGATGCCCGAGTTGTGTTTCAAGGATAGAAAAGCTTCCAATTGTATGTCTTGTAGGGTCCGATAGAATCATTGGAGAACAATTAACAAAAAATTAGTAGCTGGGGGATATTTAGTTGGAACAATACCGTTGGAGTTTGGTTTGGAGTCTATGTTGAAGAATACATCTCAATTAAAGTCAAAAGTGGTGGGTAATGTTGCTTTCCCACAAGAACCAACGGTATCATCATATTCAGTTGTTAGAGACAGACTCAAGAGAGATATTATGCCTCCACAAAGGTATGGAGAGGCTGATTTAGTGGCGTATGTGTTGAATGTGGTTGAATGTATCGAGTCTAGTGAAGAGCCTTCAATAGAGCATTGTGTTGTGTTGATTCTGTTACAAGATGTGTCTTTACACTACTTGGTAATTATTTTGAATTATTTGTCATTGTGTTGCTTGTGGTAATAATTTGAGCAATTTTGGTACCCGAAATAATTCTGTCAAGCGGTGCTTGAATTCAGTTGATTGAAACCTAGTTGAACTTTGTGGAAGATGAAAAAATTTTGGTTAAAGAGTTTTGTTGAAGAGCCATTGGTTTATTTTTTACAGTTGAATATGTGTCCGGGTGGAGAAATTTCGAAGTTTTGTTCGTTGTAGTGAAATTTGTGTAAAGATGGAGAGATCTACTGAATATTGTGACCCAAATTCCTTTGGAAAATGATGTTTTAGTTGAGCAAGGTGTTAAAGAAGTCAAAAAGTGAAGTTTAACCCGAAACTCAACTCCTAGACACCATTGGAGGCGCTTGAGCTGCCACTCGCTTGCCGCCTACCTGGTGCTCGAGTGGCGTTGCGGCGCTCCCTTTCCGTGAGGCTGTCGCTTGAGCAGCGTATATATTCTGGGAAATATTGTTTTTTTTTTTTACTCATTTTTAATCATCTTTCCAACCATAATACATTCTCTTAGATCCTATATATATTCCACGAAATTCTTGACTTTAAGAGAGTTAGAATTATATTAGATACATAATATTCGTTGAATTTTTTTCTCCATTATTAGTAAAATTTTTGTTCCTCTGTCATATTATTTTGTTCTGTATGTATTGTGATTGTTACTTCATATTGTGCTATATAATCTCGTTTTCTATTCCTAACAAGCGGTATCAAAGTATACATAATTCTTGTTTGGATTTTAACAATTTCAACACTCATTTTTCCCAAAAAAATCATCCTATGTTTGAGCCCCATTTTGTGGGGGAGAAATATATTTTGGAATAGTAATTACTATTTCGATTTACATGTAAAATAATTATTTTATGTTAGAATATATTGTTGAAAATGAGTTTTTGACAAAAAATGAAGACAGAACATGCGCTTAACAGGATTTGGATTTTACCCTTAGCGATGTTGTCACTAGTGATCTAAAGAGGCTGGAAAAAGTTGTAAGCAGTAAAGGACATGACTAATATGGGCTTAGACATAAAATATTGCCACTAATTTGACCCTAGGCGTGAAAGGCACATGCCTTTTTTTTCATTTTTATATTTCTTTTTAACATTTCTTATTTTGGAAGTAAAACCGAATGTTGCCTTTCACCTTTTAGAA